TCGTCCAATCAAAACACTCGGTCCGAGCGTTTTAATTGGCTTTCCTGCCTACCTGTCAACATATGTATTTGCATACCTCTGCGCACCCTGTTCGCGCAGACAGGATACGCTATCAGCGAGTTCACACAAGCTGTGCAGACAGAGCGAGAATGACAAACATCAACAACCTGATCTTCCTTCCTGGTATTGTAGTACTTTAACTAACTGTACTATAAAGTTTTCTCACCGGTGAATGACACATGGTGTAGCAGCCTATTGTAATGTTTTCTCTGGTATTCTGGTCTGTGAGCGTATATGAGTTCAGCGGGCGTGGCTTTGGACGGCGATTGCAGGGAGGGTGGGACGTTCGCGTTCAGTGCGATATAATATTATATATTTGTGTATTACTAAACAAAAAAATGCAAGCAAAATCTCTAGTGGATAGGTTAATAATTTGTCATCTACATGAAGAGTTCAAATGAACTAATTCATTAAAATGAAACAGACTTCCCTGTGTTTCATATAAGAGAGGAGATTGGAAGTTTAGTAGATTTGATTATTACCTCGGTTCACTCAACTGTACACTCAATACAACACACTCAATTGAGGCACACTCAATACAACGTGACAAAAACACAGCGATGCAGCATTTTGTCACGCTACACCGCTAATGGCTGGAAAAAGTAGCTCATTACTGGAAAAGCTATTCTGTTTTGAAAACAGCTGAGCTACAGTCATGCTTCTGACAGGTGTAGTTACTTTTAGTTAGTTACTCTCCAACACTGTACAAACGCAAACACATGTTTCAGTCGACCCATGATATTTCAATCCCTCATTCTTACAAGTAACACACGCCAGTCTATGAGTGGTAATTGTACACCTGACATATAGATTAACCTTCCTTCAGAGAGTTACAGTAATCCAATTGATTATTAAAATCGAGGGCAAAGGGTCTAGAGCGATGACAAAAAGAACGCACATGTAATTGAGCTGCATTAACCCCCTGTGTAAACAGGCACACACAAAAGGACATCACTGTCCTCTTAAAACCAGGCTACAGAGCTTTCAGAGGCGCCAGGCCACTCTAGGGCCAGAGCGAAAAAGCCACATTGATTTTAAATAATGTTCCCTGTGACTCATCCATGGGAGGACATTTATCAAAGCCGTCAGAGGTCTGTCTCGTATTCTCTCTCCCATCTAACTCTGGGGTCAATAGCCACACTTTAAAATGCACTATTCCACTGCTTTCGAAGTCACCGCTGAGGAACGATTCCTGATACAGAACAAAGACTTTAATGCTAATAGACTAATAGGAGGGAAATGAAACAGGTCGTATTTTTGGGTCCGTCATCGTGAAAGGTGAAGCTATTTCGGTCGGCGGTGATAAAAGCTACGGGGCACCGTAAAGATGCGGCGAGCAAAAATGCAGTACACCCCGTATGATCCTTGGAAGTAGGGCGCTCGTGGAGCAAAGCTCACGCTGCTGGTCAGAAACTAGGACTCGGTACATCTATCTCCAGATGATGCGTGGGTGCACAGTTTCATTGTGATGAAGCGACGTGTGGATGGAGCATATTTCTTCATCCATCACTCATTTTCTAAGTCTAATTTTAGGCTTCGGACACGTGCTTTAAGCAGTTGTGATTATGATTGAGTGGGTTTGAGGTCAGATTCTGGGTTTAGGTCACATGTATCTGACATCTCTCGTTGTGGTGGCTTGATGGAGTGGTGTTTTGTGAGTGACTGCGCTGTGGATAATGAGGTATGGATGCTGGGAGTGTGAACGCAATTGCATCATGGGCAATACGGCTTGAAAATGACACAGCGCTGATTTTAGGAATTGTTGGAAATTTGCTGGAACCCAAAAGCATTCGTAGCTTATACTACACACTGCTTTACATTGGGCATACTTACTATTTTTTAGGTATAATATAATTTCCCCCCCATTTGGTGCTCTGAAACAAACCAGGCATGTCGGGCATGTCATGCACACCTTGAACCATACGAATAAAGGCCTATGAGATTAAACCTCTCTCTGGGAATATTGTATTGCGAAACTAAATATGATGTCTTACCATCTGTGTAAAGCTGTAGCACCAGTACATGCACTCTAATATACATTCTTAGGTATCATTGCTTTCTTGTGGCAGACTGCGTTGGTGACCTCAGATCCTGTTGGGTGAACCTCCATCTGGCCTTTCTGAAAGTAAGCTTGAGAGACTGAGATGAGAAATAAAATAAAATGAAAATAAATAAATAAATAAATAAAAGAGGCAAAAGCATGTCTTAAATATCAAAATACCATACGGTCATTAAAAATGCAGATAAACAAAATCAATTTAGCAAATATTTTTTGGTCAGAGCAAGAAGGCTTTTAAAGATTAATTTTATAAAATGATTCTAAATGGAAGCTCATGATCATAGGATAAAGGGATTAATATAAACTCGAGATCATGATTAAAGATTATGGTTTTGGATTACACTAGACCTTTAACTAACACTACATAAACATCCAATCACATCAAGCTAACTTTGTTATTCTTTATAAAGCATGCTGTGAATATTAAGAACAAAAATAATATAACATATTTTAATAATATATTAGTAGTCCAAGGTTTTGTATACATCCTTTTTTATGTTAGAAACTGTTCAGTCACTGACCAACAGAGTAAATGTACAAAATTTATTTACTTATTCCTAACCCGTATTCCTTTCTTCTGTGACTATATGTTCCATAAAATATATTTATAAGAACATTGGACCACACCGACTTTCACTGTATGGACAAGAAAAACAAAATTTTTTATTTTTTATTTTTTTTAAATATCTTCTTTTCTATTCTACAAAAGGAAAAACGTCATATAGATTTGGGACTATTGCTTTAATTACTACTACCAACTACTAAGTCTTTCACAACTATCAATTCTGCCATTTCATAAGGGTTGGTAGGATTTACAAGAGTCTCAGTCTGTTCATGGACCATCTGACTCATACTGCACACAAAAATGGCATTAAACTATAACTGGCTTCTACACAGCCTCCAGGAGTCATAAACATGCCAAGGTTTGTGAGGTTTCTGGTATAGAATTTCTGAAAGACATTGAGGGTTTTTGTTTGAGGCAGTTAGTAACAATTAAATGAAACATCCTTGAACTGTGTATTCTGCTTTTCAGAGTCAAGGCCAGTAACATAGTTTGTACTTATTACTTTTGAAGGGATGGAAATCCTAACCACGACGTCTATGAACATTTTAAAATGTTATTAATTACTCCAATGCAGTCTGCTGTGTCATTACTTGAATGGGTTGCCATGTCAGTCTATTTTTGTGGTATAATCGATTTCAGATTTATAATCTAACCCCAAGCATTACATAAAAGACCTTACATGTCAATCAGGCTCCTTTCTGTCTAAGTGTGCAGAAGTTACAATGTGCATCAGACATTTACAGAGTCAAAACACTAGATTTAGAAGGCAAAAAGCATAAACATTATACTCTGAATAAGAGCAAAGTACCCAAACAATGTCAGATTTTACTAGCTCAGAAAGTTAAATATTTCAGAAAGTCACACTTTGGAAAAAAGCCAAGCACTTACATTACATTTAAAAACGGAAACTAGCTTTGCCTCTATGCAAGTCAATACAGCTGAAAACCTGTACTGAACTTTGAATCTTCATATTCCTTGCTTTTCACTGACCTCATGCGCTCTCAATTTTATCCTTGATGCTAAAGCTGCAAAAACGACTCTATTGAGTGACCTTCTAATTACACAGACAGAAGCCAGGTCAGGAGCATATATCAGAACAAGTGCCTGACTGGGGTCGACAGGAAGAAGGCGTGCACGCTCAGGTCAAGGGTTTAAAGGGTTACAAACTCGAGAGTGGAGATTAACCTTTGAAGATGTTGTAATTTATCTCTGAAAGGTGAGATCTAGAGATGTGGGCATGGCTACAATTAATATTTAACCACAAATGTTTGCCAATATTAACCATATTCTTAATTAGGATGCAAAAAAAAAAAAAGGATGTTGGCAGAGTATGACTCTTCCAATAAAGAACACTCGATGGAAAAGATCAAAGCAATGGGATCTTACGAAGTACATTAAATAGGTTTAAATTTAGCATATTACATTAGGAATGCATTAATCAAAAACATATACAACTTATATACAGTACACACTACCATTCAGAGTTTGGAGTCTGTACGATTTTTGGTAACACTTTAGTATAGGGACCAATTCTCACTATTAACAGGTTGCTTATTAACATAACATTAACATATTGGCTGCTACATCTACATCCCTACCCTTACAAAAATTAACCATGGTTTTACTACAAAAAAAAAGGTTACTATAGTTACTACTATAATACTATATACCACAAGTTAACCATGGTTTTGCTACACTAACCACAGTTTAACCATGGTATCTGTTATACAAATGGTAATCAATACTCCAAAAAAACATGGTTACTACACTTTTACTATAGTAAAACCATGGTTAATTTTCATAAGGGTAATCCAATACCTTAACTACTTACTATTAATTAGCAGCAAATTAGGAGTTTATTAAGGCAAAAGTCATAGTTAATGATTTGTGAGAATTGGACCTTAAAATTAACTTTTTTCCCTATCACTTTTGATCAATTTAATGCCGAATAAAATAATTTATTTCAAGTAAATAAATAAATAAATAATGCTGACCTCAAAGTTCTGAACAGTACACATATATCATAAACAACAGTTAAAAACTAAAACAGAAAGTACCCTGATAGCAACAGACTCCGGGGCGGATCCGCCCTCAAGTCGGCAGCTCTGCTGTACTGTCAGACTCTGTTCGGTCATTCGCCCAGAATATGCCCCGCCTCCGGACAGCGCACTGTCAGTTAGCGGACTCATTATGGACATGGGGCAGATTAGCGATCAGAACGCGCTTTTTTTTGTTTTTTACCGGTGCCGTCTCAGAAATCCTCCTCAGAGTGGAGAAGCTGCGGCCGGCCAGGTTGAAGAAGACTGAACTAAGGAAAATTTAACTTTAATATTTCTTATGAATGTGTGTGTATATAGATGGATATATTTGAGACATACCTCACAAGCGTAGCCTGTTATCCAATTGGAAGGGCCTCTGGTAGGGTTTCTGCACTGTAATATACATGTATCTTGGTTAATTTCAAATTGGTCAGAAGGGGGTGCAAATGTAATGGTGTGCTGGAGGAAATGTCCAGTACCTTTCAGAGAAAACCATCTGGAGTCCACCATCTCCGTATGATTGGAATGTCACACTGGAAGACACAAACATAGAGAAATCTTTAAATATCAACTGCTACAACATCATAAAGGCCAATTACTTTAACTGATAACTACTTACAGATGTAAAATCAAAGGGTGCTTCCAAGACAAGAAGTACTGGAAAACAACAAAAAAAAAAGAATATTCTCCCTGTAAATGGCACAAAAAAACCTTTCTTGTTCCTTATTTAACAACTAAATAATCACACCAATAACTGGTTGCAAAAATGTATAGTATAGCCTAAAATAAATAAATAAGTACACAGGTAAACTATTATGCAATAATAAATTGTGAGTACATTAAACAAACAACTCAAGATATTCATACCTCCACAGACAACTGCATGTTGAAGTGTTTGCATGAGTAACATAAACAGATTAAACCCCAAGAATTACTCCTTAGAGACAGTAATTGACCATGTGAAAGTTATTGTATAATTTCCACACTGACCTTAATGTGCTTTGAAAAACAAGAAAAAAATACATTATATGTACATTCTTTTCAGAGAAACTATAAACCTGCCAAGGTCTAGTAGGAACAATAGAAATCCTCAGGGTGAAAGTGGGAGGAGATTTAGATACATCAACACTCGGACTTTAGGGAAGAAAGCTGTGAGAAAGAAATGAATTTATGAGTCCACCTGTAGCAATTTAAAAGAGCACCACTGAGGTTATATGACCCACATTCAGACGAGCTTCGAAATAGTCCCATTTTCTTTTCTATATTCGGCTTCATAAATGTTTAGAAAAGAGCTCCACCTTCCACATGAAGCCATTGAGGCGCAGACCACACAGCACTGCTGAAACGTGACCTTGAGAAAATGTCCACTTCCTGCGACCACAAAACATTTAAACATTGACAGTGATGCAATACGTGCTGGCTGAAATATCAGACACCAGAAAAGTGGTGTATTGTTTTGCTTCTGATTAAAAACCTTTTTAAAAATGATGTTTTCATCCAGTGCAGGGATTAAAATCCTCTCTGACCCCCTCTGAGACTTGCCGTTAAACCGTTTCCCCCTCACTCCCATTTCAGCCTTGTCCTGACTGTTGATATTTTCCTCTTTCCTACAAATAATCACTCAGCGTCTCTAGTATAATTACACAGCACCTTGTCAGATAGCCTAATCCTCCTGGCGTGCTAGCGTCTTGCTAAAGCATCCGACCTTATACACGGCGCCATATACGCCTGACATGCGATTGCTGCCATAAAACCGTATTGCACATGGGAGAGTGGATTAAGTCTAAAAACATGCTAATCCGCCCAAATGAGTATTTCTTACTCTTTCCTGGCGAGCATGTGGCTCAGAAATAAAGCTCCCAAAAGTGTGAATCTGTCCATTGAGTAAATGTGGCACATATACTGTCTTAGCATCTCTGAAATTGTTAATTGCTCACAAGCGCCACTAAATCTGCTGGACATAGCGGGGATTAGAAACTCCCGGCAGCATATGTTTCTAATGTAGGTTCCATTAGCTGGTGTTGTTTTAACCTTAAGCAAAGGGGAATTTTCCATGTCAAACCCAATAGTCCCGCTAATTGGACAGTTCTGCCATCTGACGTTTACTGATAAAGGATAAGGATGTGTGACATTCTCAAATAAACGACATTTATTTCAATAGGAAAGGAGATCTGGTTTAAATGGGATACTGTTTAGATGGAGATCATGGAATTTTAAAAGTTCTTTATCTGATTCTGCTGGTACTGTTTATTTGTAGATCATGTTTAGAAGCCTATCAGTAAAGAAGGACAGTTATGTTGCCGTTGTAACTTTAAACCTGCATCTATTACTAAAAGTTAACATTTCATGTTCACTTCACATCACGCATATGTAGTTGTTATTCAACTGCCAACTCTGTTGTAGTTATTTCATCAGTAGAATGTTGATAAAGTTAAAAGATAGCTGAATTTTCTAGCATGTACTACACAAGAAAAAAAGCTACATTTATATTTAAAAATGGTATTTTATTTTTTTTTAAATACGTTATTTATTCATCCTCATGTCATTCCTAAACTGTTTGACTCACTGACTTGTATTGAAAAACAAAAGGTGATTTAAAAAAAAAAAAATCTTCTGAATGAAGGTGAATAAGGACTGATATGAATAAAAATATATTAAAAACACCAAAGTATCAAAAGTTTTCCATACTATTCTTTTAAAGCCATACAATAGCTTTGTGCGTCAGACTGAATTGTAATTTTTTTCTCCCCCACTTCGGTTGGCAGTTCACAAATCTGGTTCCATCTTGTTTGATTCATTGTAATTGCATGGAAAAGAGCAACCAATACGTTTGGAACAATATGAGAGCAAATAATATTCAGAATTTCATTTTGGGAGAACTATCCCTTTAAGGAAAGTGACTCACAATGTCCATGTAACTTCACTTACACATTTTTTGATGCATTGACATGAGGCTTAACATTTCCAGAACATATTCGGCTTCGCATACATTTGTTCAACACTACTCCTCACCTCCAGGTTTAATTCTGTTTTGGATGTTTACTCCAACTTTAACTATTGCAAGCTTCACAGGAGCGGGCAAATTGAAAAAGTCAAAATATGAAATTCATTTACATGTGAATGTTAAATTAGTCTACAGTCCACTGTGGTTCTCTGCCATAGAAACCATCTTCCCTGTACGCAGATTCAATTTAAATGGCAGAATGCTTGTATAAAAATAAAGGTCCCTAATGAGTTCTGCACTAGCGATGAGCGACAGCTTCATAATAAGGCATAAATCACAGCAGACAGTGGTGTTTCTTTGAAATATGGCGTCTGGGAGAGCTGTCTGAGGGAGTGGAGGCCCCCGCCAATCCTTATCACCCTTTCAGGCGTGGTGTACATCATGGAATCCAGATGGCCTGTCATACATCAGGCCTTTCAGCTTGCTGACACACACGTCCACCAAGCTGCTTCTACTTTACCTAAACTGGAACTTAGTGGTACCGTACACAAAACTCACCTCTGAGAAATGCAAGTGAAATCACTTTTACTGCCTTTCCATCATACTCGCCCCTTGTCTTTGTTGAGGCACACCTGCGAGGGCCGAGATCTCTGAGGCGCCATCATTTCGAGGCTGTCATGTGAAGGTGCCCCCTAAGGACTTTGATGGATTTGATTCTTCCCACTTGTGGCTTTGGTCTACAGCAGACGGGGCGATTTTAGAATAGATGGCCTTTGGCTAATCATTAACATTGATCTAGCTCTACATATAGTCATATGGGCTTCGTTTTTTCATCTGGAGAAATATTTATTAAAATATAGTTAAAACATGCAATTCACACAAACAGTGACTTGAATGCAACTCTATGATGATCATGTTTTTCATTTCTACAGAAAAAAAAAAAGTTTTTGCTTTTGAATGGACACAGATATGTTTTTGGAAGGCAAGATATTAAAAAATCAATGATATCAATAAAAAAAAAGGCCTCATTAAAAGACTGACATAGTTTCTTCAAATTTCTTAGGATAAAAAAAAAGCTTCTCTGCTTATTAACATTCAAAAAACTGTCTGCCAAATTAACCAACATGGAAAACAACCATCTATTTTCCAAGCCACTGGTCCTGTGTGGAGTCTTTAAATATCAGGTAATTTCACCGTTATATGACAAAGCAATGCTATTTCAATTTGTAAAATGTCATGTAGTGTGACTTCAAAATTATAATGTTTATGGATTAATAGTTCTTGATATTTGTAACAAGAAATTTTACTTTCACCGTGAAATTAACATTACATACAAATGTAGGTCTAATTATTTTATTACTTTTTAATTGAGGGTTATGCCACATGACATTTTTAGAGACATTAAATTGATTTTTTCCCCTTTTCTGTATTGTAGACATCGCTATAGCTCAATGATCCACGATTATGAATACAGTATAGGTATAAAGCATCAGTGTACAACACATCCTCTCTCTCTGTTTGCCCTTTTTTTTTGTACGTAGGTTTAATAAATGAAAGAGACACCCATAACTGGCTGAAGATACACATGCTCGCATGCATGCCCATGGATATATTTACACTCCATTTGCTGTATCCACTTGATGATTAGAATCGCAGCCTGAAAGTAATGTCTTATGAAAATACGCCACACGCACTTCTGCCATGTTCCCGATCTAATTTGAAGCCAGTGGAAACTGTCCTTTTTAATCATGACTGGGATCTGGAAGGCCATCAGTAAAAGTCAATTATATGCCATGATCCAGAGAGCAAGCCCAGTGTTTACACTGTAAACTCCCGGAAACTCACCTCACTGGCTCTGTTCTACCTGTCACGTGCAGAAGCCGTGTCTGTTCCTATACGGTCTCCCCCCACCCGGTAACAGCCGAGAAAGTGATGAGTACGGCCGTTTCTGCTCCCATCAGAGCAGCATTATCTTAAATCATCAGCAATTTCTCCCTCGTCCTGTCCTGATCTCAATCGTGACCTGCAGCATCTCCTCTGCAGTCCCCCCAAGCCCGGCTCCCAGTCGGCCCATGGCCAGCCGTTTATTTTATAGCTGTGTGCTCATGCTCTTATCGGGCCAATAAAGAAACTGTATTTGGGGTTATCTGATGGGCCTTCATGGGGGTGCCAGGCACACAGCAGTCACAGTTGGTTACACGCTGATTCCCCACATGAAGTCGTGCTTTGGAGATAATGAAATTCACTCCTAAGGATAAAGTTGGTGAGGAAAAAGACTGGGCAATTACTCAGACCTGTTATTTTTCTACATATAGGTCGGAGGGATAATGTCCACCTCTGTTCACACAGTTCGGCACCTACACATGCTTTTAGTTCATGTAACTGAGCGAACACTGTGTATTGTTCTTGTTTGAAAGGCTGCAGGAAGTTTTCTATTCTGTTTTCTTTTTTTCCAAGCAGTTTTATAAGTTTATACTTCATTTTTTTACCCTGCAGATTACCGTTCACTTTTTTGCAGTGCAAATACATCCAGAGATCTATTAATACGTGTTCAAACGATGCTGGCATTATCATTAAGGGAACAGATTGCTGATATGGTGGTATTAAGATTAAAGTCACACTACAGATTTTTGCTATAAAGTTGGCTATGATGGCATTTACGGAAATGGTTGAACGGATGAGGCAAAAATGAAATAATTGTCACCTGGGGAAAGGAAACACATTGTTTACGACCTTGGCTTTTATGACTTTTCCTGTTCCGAACATCTGATGACCAAATATATACATTTTCAGCCGCCCAATGTCTCAAACAAGTAAGTAAGTTTCCTCTCCGCAGGGACTTTTTGGTATGAGTGCAACGGTTTATAATGAGGTATGAGAGTAAATGCTGAAAAATACAGAATCAATAGCTGGAAAATGTGAAAACGGGCGCTGTCTGAAAGAC